GGCACAGTTGAGTTCACCGAAATGTTTAACATGTCTCACTGTGCCCAACCAACTTTGAACGGTAGGGAGCCCTGCTTGGGCACGCATATAGGGAGCCCTGTTTTGCTTGGATCCTTTCTCAGCAGAAGGGGGGCCCCAGCCACGCAGCTCGGGACTTGGTGCGCAAAATTATCAGGGGGCATTCTGGGAAGGATATGAAGGGGTGTCCAAGAAGTGTCCTTCCCTGTAGGTTTTAAAGGGAATCACTACTGAAATCATGTGTATTTTCTCCCAGGAGGGTGTCATCGTTCATTTGCCCGGAATGATGCTCCCTTTCTTACGTTGGCACACTTGTCAGAATCGGTTTAAAGGGAAACCCATGTGCAAAACCGACCCAATTTGGGGAGTCATTCTCCTGGTTGGAGATGTATCTATATTGACCATGGCATGCTTATCTCTTTCGCGGCCAAACTTCGGCCTTTTTGTTGGCAGTCCAACACGTGTTTGCTACTCCGACATGTGTCCCACAAAGCGGGGGGGGGGCCTTTAGGGAAGCAAAAAAGAGGTTGTTTACACGATGATCTGCCTCGCAAGCATCTTTTGAGCACCTCACCTGAGTTGGACAGGTTTCCTCCTTAAGATAAGCAAACAGTGTCACATTTGTCGATCCAATCCACTGAAGTGAGAGGACCCAAAGAGCAACCACAGGGACACCGCCTTGGTTTTGAAAGGGAACGATGGTTGAAAAGACAGGACAAGGAATGAAGCCCTAGACTTCCCGCAGAATTAGCTCTCCTTTTTGTTTTTTGCTTTATGGGGGTCTTTGTTGTTTTCCACGAACCAGGCAAAATACGTCGCTTTTGGCTGGGGCTCTAATTCCTGCACAGTAGACAAGTGAGTTCGTGTAAGCATTGGTTGCCACATCCAACTGGCTGTGGGTCAAAACCAATGGTACCATTTTGAGGTAGGTGAACCACCCATATTAGTCTATTTGAGTTGGGATTGGGATACTGCGGGTACGGGCTTTTGACCCATGGCCAACTCTTTTTGCGGTAGGTGGCGAGCTCTTTCACCACCTGGACCGGCGAGGACCCTTCAGCGAAATCGACAGCAGGCGCCTCCAGAGTTCCGCTTCGGCCCCCGCGGGACGTTTGGACGCGCGACGTTTGGGACCGCGGGAGTTTGTTTCGCCGGCACGAAAAGCGTGCCAAATAACAACCATGTGTCTTTGGTTTGGTTTAGGTTATATACGCCCTAAAAGGAAACCGGAGGGATTGATGACTGTCAATCAATTTGCCCAGACCCACCCTATTTGACCCCCAATAGCCAACTAGGGGTGTGGTCGCACCCTAAATGATGTCAACTTTGGGCATATCCTTCGGGTTCCTCCCGAGAACACTACATACCGGGGGAGTCCTCTTTGGGTTGGGAACCACAATATATATATATATATATAATTGTCTAGTTATTATTATGTTTACTATTATTATTAGCATGTATGATTATTACTATGATTATTGTTGTTGTTATTATTGCTATTATTATCATTATTATTACTATTACTGCTATTATTATTATTATTATTTTTATTATTAGTATTATTATTATTATTATTATTATTATTATTATTATTATTATTATTATTATTATTAGTATTATTATTATTATTATTATTAGTATTATTATTATTATTATTATTATTATTATTATTATTATTATTATTATTATTATTATTTTCTGAAGAAGGTTCCTCGGATTTGCGAAGGTCCTTTGAGTTGATCCGAAGCGAACTTTTCTGGGTATCCCACAAGGCTTCAGGAAGCCAAAAGGAGCTCAATAGCCAAATGACCCTTGTCTGTTCATACTCCGCATGCCATATACTCCGATGTTTCCAAAAGACAGAAGAGGATGGATGATTCTTTGATTGAGCAAGCCGGCGAAGCCACAGATTGTATCTGGTGTGTTCAACCACCCTTGCAGTCCTATTCCCTGAGTTCCTGAACTTTAGTCCCCGTTTGGAAGACCATTTTGGTGGCAAACAAGCTAGGTCAGTGCCCGTTCACCTTTTTTTGGTGGGGAGGGTTCCCCTACTAAAATCGACTACAGAAAAAAAGGGTACCCTTATTCTCACAACTCTCTACTGGAGGACCTAGTTGCATTGTTCGGCCAGTCCACTCAGGAAGCGAGGAGTTTGTTCTCAGACAGGGGGAGGGCAAGACGGTGCCAGGTTCTACATCAGCGAGATCCTCCTTGGCTTAGAGTACCTCCACTCACAGGCGGGCCCCCCTCTTTTTTTTTGTTCGGACTCACAGTGTGCTTCTCAAAGAAGGGGAGCGCCAAGAGGGTGATGTCCTTCTGGTTTGCGGCAAGATGCGCTGGCACCCCTCCCGATAATTCATTGCTGTCGCATTCATGAACATTTGGCAGATTCAACTTAGGAATCGTTTAATCCGGTCACTCCCCTAAGTGGCACATGAGCCCCGGGCAAAGGGGCTTGTTGCCCCTAAGGGCACAGGGGAAACTTTTTTTTTTTTTGGGGGGGTTGAAAGTCGGAGTCTACGCCCCCCTCTTGTCCTCCCCAAGCCAACTGCAGACTACCAAAGTTGTCAGTTTCTCATATGCAGCGAACCATCACCTCCTCTTAGAGGAACCTCTCAGAATTGGCAACGGGGTGATACCCTCCCACCCGCCAACATACTAAGTAGGACCATATCTCTGGCGGGTGCCATATATATATAGTTGACGCTTATACACTGTTAGCCACCACCGATTAAGGGACAGTGTATACCAAGGGATATGTGTTTTTCTTCTCTTTCGTGGGCCCCCAAGAGCTTGAAAGGCATTTGGCCTTCCCTTTTGACCCCAGTCAGGTTCAGGGTGTCGTGTCCTTTTTTGGTTTGTGGAGGGTTTTCCAGAGATCGGGGTGGGGTCACAGGAATTCGAGCCCGATCGTAGGGGCACTTCTCTTCCTTTGAAGTGTGCTCGTGGTTGGGGTGTATAGGTTGGCCCGGGAAGCGAAGCTCAAAGAAAAGGTTTTTGTGTGCCAGGGGACTTCCATTCAAATCCCAACAGAAAGTGTACCAGCGGCCTTATGCATGCCTAATGTCCAAGCGCCATCCGTTCTATATTAGTTGGGCTTCCCCCTAGATCAACCAACACATTGTGTTTTCTTTGACTTTTTTCGGGTTTGGCCGTTTGGCTCCCTGTGGCAAATCAACCAACCAAGAAAGGGTGATGTTTGTTGACATGGCCCAGAGGGCAAGTCAAAGTGACGTTTCAGTGAGAAATCTACGACTTGGCCGTACCCATGGCACAGCTACTAGTGTGTATCTTGTATTCTTTTTTCGTTCAGCATATGCGTCTTGCTATGTCGTTTTTATCTATTTCCGTTGGGTAGAGGAGGCAACCAGGAAACGAGAAATGAATGTGTGTTCTCATGGCACAATCCACCAAGACTGTGGGATGTCCTTGCTTTCCTCTTGGACGTGTTCGTTTCAAAAGAGAAAAATCAACACGTCTTTGCCCACTTTCCTCTTGGAGATTTGTCCACAAAGAAGCTCACCTGTTTGGCCACTTCTCTTTTCTGAAAGAAATAAAACAAAACAAACACGGGGGAAAAACAAAAACGCGGCCACGTCTTTCTAAGAGAAAAACCGAAAGAACAAAAAACGCGGAGGGGATCCTGTACCGGGACCTGAAGCCGGAGAACTGCCTCTTGGACTCCGAAGGCGCGGATTCGAATGCGCGCAGTCACCC